TTTGAACATAACTACATAAAGTTCTATGAACAGTTATATTACTGCACAAGTTCTCAATAGTACCACACATTGTTCTCAATAGTACCATACATGATTTTCAATTGTACTCCAAAAGTACCCCACCTAGTTCTGTATAGACACCAGAGCTAGTTTAAATTAATTTTACAATATTAACTGGCTTAAAGTAATTTCCATTGTAAAAATGATGTAACTTTATATATATATATATCTCACACATTTATGTATTGTATAATATTGACTAATACTGTACCATTTTAGAGAAGCCGTTTGTCTGTCAATACGGCCGCTCAATCCAAAATGGCCGCAATTTTTTGTAAAAATATTATCTTTGATTACTCAAGTTCCAGAAAGAATTTTCAAGATGGCACCTGAATTTTCAAAATGGCTGCCATTTTCATTAAAAAATGTTATATAAGTGAAATACCAGTGAACGGATTTGGCTGAAATTTTATATGCTGATGCCTAGGGACACATTAGCTCTGTTTACAACATAATTTTCAAGATGGTGGTTGAACGTCATCTTTGATTACTCAAATGCCAATTGGTGGATTTGGTTCAAATTTTATATGTAGATGCCAAGGGACAAATGAGCTCTACTAAAGAAAACATATTCAAGATCGCTTCTGAATTTCAAAATGGGCACTATTTTTCGTGAAAAAAACGCAATCTTTGATAACTCAAATACCAGTAGACAGAAGAAGTTCAAAATTTATATATTGATGCCTAGGGACAACAAGTTCTGCTCACAAAGAAGATGGATGTTAAATTTCAAAATGGCTGCCATTTTCATTAAAAAACTTAATCTTTGATAACTCAAACACCAGTTGACTGATTTGCTTCAAATTTTATATGCTGCTACCTAGGGACAAAGGGATCTGTTTAAGAAGACAATTTCAAGATGGCAGCTGAGTTTCAAAATGGCCACCATCTTTGGAAAAAACATAGTCTTTGATAACTCAAATACCAGTGGATGGATTTGGTTCAAATTTAATATGGTGGAATGCTCACTCCAAAAAGTTTCAAGATGGCCACTAATTACCAAACCATGTTCTGTGCGGTGGGATTTGCTACTCCGTGGAGTTGCTGTTTTTCTAGTTAACGTATACATAAAAATTACTTCTGAGACCTGACAATTAGTATGCAATGTCACTCAAAATTGAAATTTCTGATTAGGTAAGGAGGCGAAGTCTAATTGTTAATTCAATAAATGTCCTGAATCCGATAGAGACCACTCTTTATAATATGAAATAAGGCCTGGGACTCTGGCAGATTCTCCCCAACAGATGTCATCGACCATCTTCTTATACTTATCACAGCAAGACAGCATGGTAGGACCTGGAAAAACATGAAAAAACAATTATACTAATTTTCTGATGGATTAGATTGTTTTATAATTCTATTCGCAGCTGTTAAATTCAATGTCAATTGATCAGACCAGATACATATAATAGCAGTAATAATGTTTTATATGTCTTTGATCATACAGATATGGTTGGACCAGTATATCCCTGGTCCATATAAAAATCTGAGAGCAATGTTTTGAATATATAGTAAGTTTATGGAATCTCTTACATTTTAGAGTCCAAGCTACCAGAGCTAAATTTTTTTCTTTGAATCCAGAATTCAGAGTGAATGAATCTCACATCTCTTTTAAACAATTTATGACGCTTTTGGATTTCTAAAGCTTTTGGAACATGTTCAGTCATTTGGGCAATGTAATGCTGAATTCCCCAAATATATATAACACCTTCGATCTAATATCAACCACTTTAAAGATACCAAAACACAAAATAAGAAATAATTTTATTTTCATTGTCCACATTTGATGGCCTTGTAGTGGCTTAACCAAAGGTTGGACATCTATCTAGTATGGCAATCCAACTATGTTGCATTATAAGGGCAATGATAACGATATGGTGATGAAGTTATACATGAGAGTGTTAATCACTTTGAATACATATCATACAGCCAATCTCCAAAAGTACCATACAGTACCATTTTGGCTACGGTGTGCATATTGGGGGTGTAGAGTGTAATATTGGCCCAAAACAGTCATCTGTAAACGCTTAAGAGTGTACTCTAAGACTTTAATTCTACCATGCTTATTTGTTTCATGTTTTTATTTTTTATGTCAAAGATAGATGGCATTAGTTTATATTGCGTATACAAAGTATCTTATTTTACTCATCAATCTTAATAAATATTTTTAAAGTACAGGCTGGGACAGTTTTTTTTAAATTTAATTTTAATACCCCAGCCTTACGTAACAAATTTACATAACTCAATCAACACACCATCATCAGAAGAAGACAACTTATCAATTATGTTACTAAGACACACACTGATGCACTAGCAGTAAATATAACAAAGGAGCACGTAGGTTATCGCAATCAATTTCAAACGATTCTAACTTGAATTATGAATATTTTCTGATCATGAACATGGGTGTATCTTTTAGATCCATTCATTATCTTCAAGAAAAGTATATATAATGATAATTTAGTTAATCAGACCTAAGTGATATTGAAGGGGCAATGGACCAATCAACATACTTTTTCAAAAATGTTGACCTAATTTTCACCAAAAATGCAACCTATTATTATATTGTTGAATGCATAATTAGAATGTGCTTTGAGACATGTTCGATTTCCTAAAGGGAAAATTTGATTGCTCCAGGGACTTCAATTTGGATGACCAAAATGAATTGAAACCAATGGATAGCATGAGATTTTTCAATGGAGAAATAACATGGGGAACACTTATCTTAATGCAATTCAGTTTTTCTTTCAAGAACTATTTGATACATCAAAATAAAGAATAGTAATGCATTAAACATTGTAAAAAATGATTGCATTTTTGGCGAAAATGGGGTCAACATCTTCAAAATGGGGTCAAAAAGTGTGTTGATGGGTTAATTGCTAATTAAATATCTCTCAGTTTGTTTGAATTTATTATTACTGTGCATAATTTTCTTTGAGATAATGAATTGATCTAAAAGATAAACTTGTCTTCATTGTTAGAAAATAGTCATAATCCAAGATATAACCTTCTGAAATTGTTTGCGATAACCCACGTGCTCCTTTGGGATTCTTCATTTAGCTCAAAAATATGCATCTACAGAAAATTATCAAACTACCAATCAAAATCATTATCTGTGTGCTTCTTAAACAACTGTACTAACAAAACTGATTAGAGTCTATATTTTCAATAGCTTTGTATTACACGCTGAGGATGTTTCACAGCGAGTTCTTGAATTAGTTGCTCTTTTTATATTTTCTTGGAAAGCTGTGGATTAAAACCCACACAGCCGTGAAACTCCTACACACTGTACAATGTAAATACAATATCCATCAAAAATGATATGGAACTCACAAACAAGGGGTGTAGTTGGGTGTAGTTTAGTGTGAGGCAAACGAGGCAATTGCCTCACCAACATTTTATAGAAAAATATTAATTCAGAAATTGAACCAATTGAAATTGTGAACATGAAATCTTGTCATATCACTATTTCCTCTTTTACTTAAATTTGCCTTGTTAATTTCAATTTGCCTTCCTGAATTCAAATTTGCCTCCTTAACTTAAATTTGACTCCTTAATTTAAATTTACCCTCCTAAATTTAAATTTGCCTCCTTAATCTAAATGTGCTCCTTAACTTAAATTTGCCTCCTAAATTTAAATTTGCCTCACTTATTTTTGGTTCTCGCCAATGTATATTATATACAAAAATGAAAGTCAAACCACCAGAGAGATATGCAGTGCTCATCAGTCTCAATAGTTGTAAGCCATTAAGCCAAACATCAAACAAATTTATTTTATATCCAAATACGCAAATACTATCTGCAGAAACTTTTGACCTATTGATAAATAAACCAATTCTTCTTTCTCGATATTTTATTTGCGTTCGGATCTATTGAAAGAAAAACAAAATAATGTACACTACCAAAGCCTATATAAATAAAATAATGCCACTTTAAGAGGGTATATCTCAGTGTTGATTGTTTGTAGTCACACACCCTGAATTCAATATTTTCGGCTTCCTACCCTCCCCACTGACTATATCCGATATTTTAACAGTTTTAATAAATCTCCAGGAATTAAATTTATGTTTCCAATCTTGGACTTTTGTTGAATTTAAGCTTGAAAGTAAAATGAATGCAACTCACAATGATTACAAAGTTCAGAACAAAGAATTATTTCTTATTGAAAGAGTGAAGACAAGATTAACTCTTGAACAGGGTATTCAGTTCATCATTATTAAGGAATGATAAATCACAGACTAAAGCTGTTTGGGGATGACTGATATTAAAAAGCTTATTGAAGAGAGATGATGACATTCTAAAGTAGCCAATGTAAGTAGACTACTAATTATGAACTAACAGAGCAAACAGGAACAGATGTGAGATACTGTCAATCAAAACATCAAGAGGGCTCATAGCCCACTCAGCAGTGTTATACCTGAAAGCTTGGGAATGAATGATACTATGGCACTATGGTATAGACCTTGCTTCTAGAATTCATGTATTGGTAAGTGACTTGTAGACCAATCAAATCTGAAGATTATTGAAATAAATATTACAGCCAAATTGTGTTCTGAGAGCTCAAGTCTCAACCACATATTCTAAAAACTCCTTTATTAATCAGCCAGATACGACTTATTATGTGGAAGGTGCCAGGTTTGGACCATATAAGACATTGATAGAGTTGTTAGACAAATGCATACAGTTTATAGCTATGAATTACTGTTGAAATGGATGGCAAGTTTGGAGTTATGAGCTTGACTTGAGCTATTCAGAGCTACCCATGTGCAACTGTACAACATATCTCCATGGGTTAATTTAATTTGCATGTGGTGAAAAAAATGCAATAGTCTCCTTCACAGGATTGGCTCGAGATAAGACACAGATGGAGAGCATGAGCCAATAGCAAGGACTACACTGAGGGGTTTGTCAGGATATACAAGGAGCTACTGATGCAGATCAATGTAGTTTAACATAACCAGCCAGCGGAGGTGGAGCAAAAGTTTCTCAGAAGTTAAACATTGCAAAAACATCAACGATACTTTACAGAGATTAGATAGCTATAGCTTTACAGGGATATTTAATCCAATAATACCGAAGGATTTATAAAACATTTCCACACACTCGGCTGTGTTTTGACTTGACTCAACAGCCATCTAAGGGATTTGTAACAGTATTTACAGGATCAAGTAATAACATAGACGCGTGTATCGGCCTTTCTGTTCACTGATCTAGAACTTGAAGATGTTAAAAGTAACTTTGATATTCGACCTGTAGCGCCACATCAAAAAGAAAATGACTCTCATTCACCAAAATATAGCATTTGGACTGAGTGTGTTCATATGTACACTCACTAGTCTCGCTGCGGAACTTTGCCATGTTGCCCGGAACAAATGTGTTGCCAGGATGGGCTGTAGCATGGCCCTACATAACTACATCACAAACTGTGGCCCAGTCATACACGGCGAAACTGACATATGTACGCCCGATTGCCGTAAAGCGTTAATCTCATTATTCTCAACAGATGACAAAGCCGGGGAAATGTTTATGACATGTGACTGTAATGGAAATCAATTTTGCGAAGAGTCAAAACATCGCATTGAAATCTGTAGTAACGATGTAATTCAGGGATTGCATAGTATTGATGATGATGAGACAATGTTGAGTTGTAGTTTGGCAAGTATGATTTGTGAGGCAGATACTAGATGCTGTACAGCCCTCGACTTCTACCAACTGCACTGTAAAAAAATGTGGGCTGGAGAAAAATGCACCCACAGATGTAACAATAGTATACAAATTTTATATGGACAGCACAAAGCTAAAAAGCTGAGAACATGTTACTGTGATGGCACAGAGGGGTATGATTGCCCACAACTTCAATATAACACAAACTTTCTGTGTTTCGGACATCAACACCACAAACACCATCATAACTATAATCACGATGACCATAACACATCAACAGACGATGGGGACAATAACGTTGATTCCAGCCCTAGTATCACTGAAAAGAATGATCGGAGTGGTGCGGGTTCATCAAGTACACACACCAACTTGTGTTTAGCCTCACTGCTGGCAGTTCTGGGCTACTACACATTTACCCACTAGACCAACCTGTTCATGCCTTGCATTGTAAGTACAATCAAACTAGTCACACTAGACTGGTCATCATTTCCTCTTTTGAAGTGATTGTGAAATAACAGTTGCTATTTAAAATGAAGGGGATGTCAATAGGGAAAAGGATGGGCCATTAAATCTAGGGGAGGGGGCAAAAAATAAAATACTTATTACTCAAGACCAGAATATTTATCAGTGCAGTATTTTTCAAAATAAATAGAGGAATCAGTCATGTAAAAAATTTGGTGGCACTAATCTGAACTGGGCGGTGAAATTATTGTATCAGAGTGGTAGACTGGTGGTTGGTGGTCTCTCTACTCTGATACAATATTGTCTAATATGGTGATATATTGTCTGAAAGAACTGGTTTCTTAAAAAAGGTTTGATCCATGAGGATCTAATGGTTGACCCATGCACTTTTATGAGTCCCAAGGGACAAATAGAAATTAGTTACTAATAAATGAAGAAACGGTCACAATAAAATTAATCATCAATATCGTCATGACAACTCTGAAATAGGAAATGATGACCAATGTATTGTCTCAAAATATTCACCTGTTGCAAGTTACTGAACTTGTTAACATCCTAATAATACTAATTTAAGCAAATACCTTTGGTTAATTTAATAATACTGATGAGGCAAATGATTATACTAAATGTGTTACTGAATCTATTTAATGGACTAACAAGACTAAACCAGAATTTTACATGTTAATAAACTCTGTTAAGATGAGATTTTATAAATTTAAGTACCATACTTGAATATTAGGATCCTGGTTTGAAATAAAATGTAAAATGTAATGTAAATAACATACTGTAACTCATGGAGATAATGTATCTATTTTTGTAAAAACTAGGCACGCATATGAAATAATTAAAAATGTATATTTCTGGAAAAGACATTAGTGCCAGCCTAGTATGCTGAATCTGAGTGTTTAACACGAACAATTCAAATAAGACTAATAGCAACCTTTTAAATACAAGGTGAATGCTAAGACTTTTTCAATTTGACTAATTTCCCTGTTTTTTCATCAATTGAAATGTCCGTGTTGTTGAGGCGATAATCTTTATCAGGGTTTGAAAGCAAAATACTAAAGCCATCTGCTTGTCTAATAAGAAACTCTCAATAATTCACTTCCATGAGCACTTCAAAAAGACATTTCTCAACTGGTTAATGCATAAAAGTCTAGGGAATGTAAGAATGTTTTTCAATCAATTCGCATGTCAGCATTTAAATGATTCTATGAGATGGGTAGCTAGGTATTGAAGATACAAAAGCTGTCACGCAAAATTCATAAAAAAAGAATTCCAAATTTTCTTGATCTTAAATCGGATTGACAGGCTTGATATTAATTCAAATTAGTGAATAGGGGGTTGTTAAAACTGATCAAATGTGTTCTTCAAAAACTGAATAGAATTTTTATTAATCATACAAATTTTAAATCAGCAATGCTAAGCAGGCAGGACTGGTATGTTTCGTTTTGAAGAGGTTCATTCACTGGTAACCTTTCAATTTATTATTAAAAAACATAAATATAAAAGTATTTGAAATGAAAACAGTTGACATCGAGAAACCTGCTAAATTATCACAATAACAATCCCAGAGTGAAGCACATAAAAAGTATTAGCACTTGATCAACTTAGAATTTTCTATCAATATTGTCGCTTCTTATTACTTGATATACCATAAGAAAACAAATTTATTTTCATTCACATTCCAAGGTTTTTCTTGTTTTTGTTATTGTAATCGAAATATTTTTTATGAGAAAGACCTGTATTATTTATTGTGTTTAACATGTTTAAAGTGCCTCTTTACAGTATATTCCATTGTTGGTTAATCCATGTTCCACTCATTGTACATTATAAAGCATGTACTTTCTGATGAATAGTAGACACTTCTGTCAGGGGTATATCATAGCCCCTAATGAAAACATTGGGTAGTAACTTAGTGTATCAAGTTTATTAGAAGGAGATCTATTGAATGATCTAAATATAAGGAATACTGTACAATCATTGGAATCCTCAGAACCGCAATATTTTTAACAATTCTTAAACGTCAGATTAGGAGCTGAAACAATGTATAGTCTAGATACGCAGAAACCACATTATTTTGAACACGATTATTGAGTTTCCAGGTTAATTCCTTGGGTTGGGATGACTTTGCTAACAACCTTTCTGAAACTTACTTTCACGCTCAAATTGACCACGGAAACTAGTCCACTTAAATCATACAGTAAGCATACAGTGTGGTAAGTTAAAATATAAATCATGCATACAGTGTGGTACACAGCCGCTAGCCTCAAGTTAAATCATAGGTTAGGCATACAGTGTGATACACAGCCCCAAGTTAAATCATAAGTTATGCATACAGTGTAGTATACAGCCTCAAGTTAAATCATAAGTTAGACATACAGTGTGGTACACAGCCTCAAGTTAAAACATAAGTTAGACATACCGTGTGGTACACAGCCTCAAGTTAAATCATAAGTTAGACATACAGTGTGGTACACAGCCTCAAGTTAAAACATAAGTTAGACATACAGTGTGGTACACAGCCTCAAGTTAAAACATAAGTTAGACATACAGTTTGGTACACAGCCTCAAGTTAAAACATAAGTTAGACATACAGTATGGTACACAGCCTCAAGTTAAATGATAAGTTAGACATACAGTGTGGTACACAGCCTCAAGTTAAAACATAAGTTAGACATACAGTGTGGTACACAGCCTCAAGTTAAAACATAAGTTAGACATACAGTGTGGTGCACAGCTCCAAGTTAATCATAAGTTAGACATACAGTGTGGTACACAGCCTCAAGTTAAAACATAAGTTAGACATACAGTGTGGTATACAGCCTCCTCAAGCCTCAAATCATACGTTAAGCATACAGTGTGGTGTAAAAAACTTTTTTCAAATATAAAACTGACCACAGTACTTGATTCTTCCCCAACTTTAAGGATTTTTTCCTAATTTAACATACATAATGAATTGTTGCCAAAACCTGTTCCCATATAATACAGTCAAAGTTCATAACTGTCTACTAAAACAGTTCAATTTACTTTTGAAGTTTATTTATGACTGGCTGACCCAAACAGTTCAGTTTTTCTTCAAAAAAGCTTAGAAAAGTTAATTAACAAAAATATGCAATGTCAAATAGGGAACCCATTTATGTTAAAATATTATGGTTACAAAGTAGTCACCTCTATTTGGCTTCTTAAAATAATTTTCTTTACATTGAACATTTCTTAAAGAAAATCTATCAAAGAAATGCCATATGAAAATAAAATGAGTTATTAAAACATGTAAAATAAATGATGGTTTATATCACAAGTAAAGAGATGATAATAAAGATGGAAGTTATAACCTCATCAGAATACTGAGATCCAAGCAATGATTAATAATAAATAGATAAATTATTAAATATTTGATAACATGAGACTAAAACTGAAAGAAAATTGTGATAGTGTAGTGAATTTTATATTTTGTTTACCTCAGGCTGACTGGCAAACAAACAAGAATTTTAGTAAATAGTTTTCTATGTATCCCAAAATACCTCCTTTACCCGAGAGACCAGATTTTTTGAACTTAGAAACCCTTCCAAGACCCTTTAAAATAATCGAATACAGATAAAAATACAATCCTATACCCCATAACAGATCATGGACTTTTCAGTAGGTATCTAAAAATAATGAAGTACACTTTTCCTTTGGATTTCTATTTCTTCTCAATAATTCAAGTAAAACATATAACAGCACAGCTTCTGTTGTGTTTGCAAGATAGTTCTCTCCTAATTGACAGTTTGGATTTTCTTGAGGGAGCAACTGTCTGTGTACATCATAATCAAGGCTGAATAACCCCTGAGCAAAGTTTCTTTAAAGTCGTGTTTAAAACCCCCAAAAATATCTTGAAATAGAGCGAAAGAACCAAGAAATGAAGTATATTCCCCAATAGGAAAGACCATAAAATGGCATGGAAATGGTAGTAAATTCAGCCGATCATTCAAGAAAATAATTACATGGAATGGAAAGATAAGAGAGATCAGTCTCTTGGCTGACTTACTGACTGGCTCACTGTTGAATACATTGCAACATTCTACCATATGGAAATGTACTTTAAAACATATATTTGATATTTTCTCAACTCTCAAGAAGGTTTGAGTACTTTTATTATAGGCACGCCATAAAGGATTTCTTTTGACATACATATTGAAAAAAAACTAATAAAAATATTATTTTCTCTCATAATTTATTTCAAGCTTAACTGCACCTTATCTCAAAATTCCACTTAGCCATTGAAATTCCATTTATTTGTGTAAAACCACTGTGTTATTGTTTAATGTACAGTGTAAGGCCTTTAATACAAAACCATATGAAAAATTTAAATTACTATTTTCATGCTAGAGAAAACTTCTACCAAAAGAATGGCCAGGATGCAGTATAGAATAAATCATATATTTGGAAACAAGCAAGGATGTATTTTCAGTTTTGATGAATTGAATGAATGAAATCTGTGGTGAATTTTAAAAGAACCATCAAAATAAACTGTAACCACACAATACCAATGAAGATGTAAGGATATGGGTGTAGCTTTGAGTTATTGTTGTTCAAAAAATAGAGAAAATAAGTGACTTCAAAAATGGTACTTGATTAAGCCCATTCCTTAGTCTGATAGAAATATGTTTCACTAATACACTTTAGTAAAACAACTTATCTCATAAATGATATCATCAAATAAAACATTAAATCACTTCATCTCAGCAAATATCATGAATAAAATTCATTAAAAATCTTGTTAAGTTATTTAACATTCCAAGGCATCAAATCAGTGATTCAACACCCAGAAAACCAACTCTGTGAACCCTCTCCATTAATCTTGGTTTCCCAAACTGACTATTTCAAGCAAAGTTTTGCAACTAAAAAGCGGATATTAATTAAGGTAGCGAGGTTATAATCAACAATCATGTTGAGTTTACTGCTGGTAGAGGTCAGGCTCATGGTAACATCATTTATCAAAA